AGCTCTAGCAGGGTCAGGTAGAGAGCATAAACATTTACAAGGTATTCCAGCTCCCGGGAAGCGTGAAGGGTACGATGGCGCATTCAAGTTGTTTCCAGACGATGATACGACCCGTAAGACGGGGCCCTCTTTTGTAATTTCTACAAGATTTGAGGACTTGCCCGAGGGATGTGTGAAGAATGGCGAACACCTTCTGGAGATTTACCGGCGTCTATTACAGCAAGCAAGAGACGCGCTAGAGTTACCGACAGAAGTCGTCCCTTGTCCCCACAACTTCGTCCTCACGAGAAGATGGATGATGGCTATTTCTTGACGGGCAAGGGAATTCTACGGTATCACAGCAAATGCGCCCGGAATGATGGGAGCCATTTATATCTGGAATCATGACCAACTGAATGCATGGAAAGAAATTGGCCTAATGAAGGCCCTGGCAGGATTAGGGCTGCCAAGGGAGAACTGATGTTGAATTGACTGATTTTATTCTTGATCGATATATTTAGACCAGTGATAGAATGAATAATAGCAAAATATTTCCTAAAAAAGTAGCCACTACCTACCCCAAGGGCGTAGTAGTCGAAGTGAGCAAGGGAAACCATGTGGACTGGCAAGTTTCGAGGAATCCTCTGAAAAGCTAGATACGAAATGTGATATATCCCCATATGAACGCCGGTCCCTCGGGACAAGGATGAGAAGCTAGATACATTCAAAGAAAGCGAAAATGACGCGACTAATAGAACCGATAGAAGAACGATCTGCTAAGTCCTGTATGAGCTCAAGACATGCGTGGTATATGATGGGCATGGAAGAAGTTCCCAAAATGCAGGTATAGAGGTATCCCGACAACCACGTGGGAAAGGTGTCGGGCTGTACAGTGCTCGTTTAGAACATGACAAAAGGACCAATCCAATAGGCGTGGATGAAGGATGGCTGAGAAGAATAACAAATAGGAAAAGGGCTGAAAGGTAGAATACATTAGTGGAGTAGCTTGTCGCTGGCGTGGTGAATCGTGTTGGCGACGCGGTCGATCCAATATTGGGTCAATGTCCAATTCCCTGTGTTGATGCTGTCGCGGATAGCAGGGAAAATCGAGGCGTCGTAACCAGACCACAGCTCTGGTCCAAAGATAACGTGTCGGAATTGTGTGCGATTGGGGATCTGCACAAGTCATTAGCTAGGGCGAGCAATGTTTCAAGCAGAACGTCAACTTACACCTCCGCCTTCTTCCAAGTCAAGTAGATTTGTATCAAAGGCAGCCATTCGAGCATTATGGTTTACCCGCTGGACTGCCATGACGTTGCTTTCATACCCACCCATGCCCCACACGGTATCGTGCCAGAGTTTGTTCCAGGACTGGAATGTAACAGCGCTGGCTTTCATCTCGGTCGCAGCCTTGAACATGGGTTCCATGTCCACCTCGGCCTTCTTGGATTTGGCAAATTTGTCCAAGTCCTTGACCCATCCGTCAATGGAGTCGCCGTAGACTTCTAGGTCAAATGGCAGCATGGGGTTCTCCGAAAGGTCAAGGAGGAGAAGCCCCCAAAATTGAGCCAGGATTTTATGGTATTGGAAATCGGGGTCTGCAAATTTCACCATCCAGTCATATGTTTCATAGCAGCTGTGGTATGGATAGGGCTCGCCCTCAAATCCGAAGTCGATGCTCGAGGTACCAGCGATATCCTGGAACGCAACATAATCACTTCCAGCACCAAGTGGGGTGATTTTTGAGCCCTTTTTATCCCAAAGGTCTTTTAGTGTCGCGTTCGCATAGGGGTCTGAAATACGACCCAGAACTTGCAACACGGTGCGCTCAAAAACGGGTGACGCAGACACGCGGAAATCGGGCCCTGCAACACCCACGTCGACATTTAGGTAGGCAAATGCATTCGCACGGAGATCATCAACCTCCTTTTCGACATGTTCTGTTGAGCCGATCAAATTGTACTCCTCTCCGTCCCAACTGACAAATTCAATGGTGCGAAGCGGCCGCCATCCGTAGGTGAGTAATTCGCCAAAGGCTCGTACAACCTCTAGGAAAGTAGCTGTGCCACTTCCAGGGTCAACACTTCCCATGCACCATGAATCCCGGTGGTTGCCAACAATAATCTTCTTATCACGCTCGTCCATTCCGTTGATCCTGCCGTGGATGTTGTAGATAGGTTGACGCTCTACTTCATCTTGCAGGTTCATCAGATGAACAACCGGAGAGCCCTTATCACCAGTCCACCACTCTTGTACATCGGGAACACCGCCCACCCAAGCGTTTGGTACCTTGGAGCCGTGGCCTTTGAGACCCTGCAAAAGTATTTGTGCATCGCGCCAAGCGAGTGGGAGACTAGGAATTTTGGGTAGACCAGAGCTCTCCTCGGGAGATAAACGGTGATTTTCTCCTGGTGTGGATGCCCATCCAGGGCTGAGGACATCGCCAACTACCTGCGACATCATACTGACACCGCCCCTTTGCACGCCATCGCTTGGCATGTACCGCCCTTCGGGGAAGGCCGGGCCTTTGCGAAATCCGTCCTGAGAGGGGTCGGAGTAGATGATACAGCCGGCAGCCCCGGCTAATTCAGCGGCCTTAATTTTTAATGCGCGGTCGGATTCAGTTCCATAGTAACGGACCAAGGCAATGGAGCCATCGAGTGAAACTCCTGCATCTGCGAGCAGCTTGAAATCTTCCCGAGATCCGAAGTTAGCATACACTATATGACCGGTGACATTGCCGGATTTTGAATGCCCATGAAATATCAGGTCTTTGGCGTTGTCCTCTTCGAGTTTTGCCTCCCAAGCTAGACTGGGTGGGTCGATAATCGCGACTCTCCTCCCGTCCTTGCGTGGATAGTTGAGGTAGACTTGGAATTCCTCCCGCGACACTTCATCGAAGCCTGCATTCCGGAACTCTTGTTCGATCAATTTTGATAGCGCAAAGCTACCTTCTGTGCCAGCTACGTGGGTGTAGTTGGTGACTCGTCGTAAGTTTTCAGCGATATTGGTCTCGTTGATGTGACCTTGGATGAAGTTCTCGACGGAGGCGGCGCTATAGGACTGACCCATGGCCATGCGACTGTTGATATTGAAGACATCTGCGATGAAGAAAACATACACTAGGGTAACCACCAGTAGAAGAGCGAACACTCGGAGAAGCATAATGCACCCTTGATCTTTTAAGCGTGCCCTCGTGTCACTGAGGTTTATCGTGAAGCGGAAACTGGGCATATATCGTTGGAAGGGTCGTTGTATAGCGGACAGGGTACGACTCAGACTCGATAGCTGCTTGGAAAAACGATGTCGTAGAGGGGCGTTTCTGCCGGTTAAGGAGGCCGATGCCGAATCATCCACATCCATTTGATCAAGCTCCCGCCGTAGTTCCTCCACTGACTCTCGGTCAGGGTGTGAGGTCAATGATTCCAGATCATCGAGACTGGAGCGTGCCGATTCCACGGTTGGTGGGTGGTAGCCGCGGGTGGAGGCATGATCGCGACCGAGTAGCCCCTGTCGTTCAACATCTGTTCCATCGCCAAGATCGGATCGAGAGGAGGAGGGTTGGCCGGTGGCTTCGGCGTAAGAAGGGATGGGGACAGCCTGATAATCAAACTTCTCGTCGCCCATTGTGGGAGATACGGGGCTCCGGAGAGCTGTAACAAGGGTGTAACGCGGGTGCGGAGATCCGGAGGATCATGATCTGTATGAGAAAGGGAAATGAGCGACGTCCGACATCATATGCCGATAAATGAGTATGTCCAGAATCCGATGGAGTTGTATAGGAGAGAGACAGGAACAGGAGATAGGCAGACGCCCCCGGAGTGAGACCTGAGTGACCCACGCTTGGCAACTTCGGTACTGCATTACACATCATGGCATTAGACATCTTTTTTATGTTATGCCAGGATTAGGATATTAGTAGAATATTCTTATTAGTCGAGATAGATTTGGGAGTTCTTTCTTTTTTATATATATAGATATATACATATATGTATATATCAATATATCAAACCTCGGAAATGCAGTGTTATGCAGATGGTCTCCATTATGTTACATACCCCATCCACGTCAAAGACATAGATCAGTGGGCAGTATCAGAATAATACAAAGCAAAGGAAGACTGAACATTGAAACTCCGGAAGGTCTGGAATATTAGCGAAGTCGAACACAATAGGAATGCAACTTTCAGGCTAAATATCCCGACTTCCGAAGTGATGCCACTTGACCATCGTAATATAGCCCAAAGTTGCTCCATTATTGTTCCATTGTTCCATTGCTCCATTGCTCCACTAAATTCGAGAACGAAGAGGAACCTCGGAAAGGTATGTTATTAGATATTAAAAGATCTCAAAGAGGAAATGCTGAACGAAGAGAATTGAGTGGAGACAGATCGATAAGATGGCAGACTCAGTTCTACACCGTAGCTTAGATGTTGAGGGTTTTTTTTGTATTAAAAGCCACGTAGCAGAGTAATAACACATAGGCATATAACCATTTGCTGTTTTATATTTACTGCTTGCTATTTACTATTTACCATTTAAAGTGTTGAAGTGTAGAAGTGTGAAATAGTGGTTATAACTTATGTTATAGTGGCCAGCGGTGAGTGCACCTGTTATATACACTTCAGTATAGCTTCACCCATGCATAGTACTCCGTACACACTAACTCTTAGATATCCCCTAGGCAATTATCCGGCCCAAAGGAACTGTAACAAAAAAGTAACCCCAAGTAACAAAAAACAGGGTAGATCTCCCCACTTGGAATTAAAAAAAAGAGAAAAAGAAAAAGAAAAAAATAATAATCAGGTGGTGACAGATCGTACACGGTAGAACCGAGTACACAGGAACTCCTTTTCATTCTTATATCAATTGCCTTCTCTTCGAGCTTCTTTCTCTTTTCTTTACCTTCACCTTAATCTTCTTCAGCTTATTCATCTCTTTTATCTCCTTCATCTTCATTATCTCCCTTCACCTTCACCTTGTGTTTCCTCTAAAAAAAAGTTGCCCCTCCATACCCCCACCATGGCTGCTCGTGCCCAAAACATCGGTATCAAGGCCATTGAGGTCTACTTCCCTACTCAGGTAAGTGTTCCATGTGTATATTACCACCTAGGATCTATACTGATTTGTCAATCGCAGTGTGTCGACCAGGTTGAGCTTGAGAAGTACGATGGCGTCGCTGCTGGAAAGTACACCATCGGTCTCGGACAGACCAAGATGAGCTTCTGTGATGACCGTGAGGGTATGTACACCGGCAAATTTCAATGGAGATCAGGACCAATCAGCTAATCTTACCCGGCAGATATCTACTCCATGACCCTCACCGTCCTCTCCTCCCTCATGAACAAATACAACATCGACCCCAAGTCCGTTGGAAGACTCGAGGTTGGCACTGAGACCCTTTTGGACAAGTCCAAGTCCGTCAAGTCCGTTCTCATGCAGCTTTTCGCTCCTCACGGAAACACCAACATTGAGGGTGTCGACAACGTCAACGCCTGCTACGGTGGCACCAACGCCGTCTTCAACAGCATCAACTGGCTCGAGTCCTCCGCCTGGGATGGCCGTGATGCCGTTGTGGTCTGCGGTGATATTGCCCTGTACGCCGCTGGTGCTGCCCGCCCTACTGGTGGTGCTGGTTGCGTCGCCATGGTCATTGGCCCCGATGCTCCTATCGTCTTCGAGCCCGGTCTCCGTGCCTCCTACCTCACCCACGCCTATGATTTCTACAAGCCTGACCTCACCAGCGAGTACCCCGTTGTCGATGGTCACTACTCCCTTCGTTGCTACACCGAGGCTGTCGATGCCTGCTACAAGGCCTACGACGCCCGTGAGAAGACCCTGAAGGCCCAGACTAACGGTGCCAACGGTGCCGCCGACGAGTCCCTGTCCCCTCTGGACCGTTTCGACTACATCTTGTTCCACGCCCCTACTTGCAAGCTCGTCCAGAAGTCCTACGCTCGTATGCTCTACAATGATTTCCTGGCCAAACCCCTCCCACCCTGCTTTCGCCGAGGTTGCCCCTGAGCTCCGCGACTTGGACTACGAGAAGTCTCTCACCGACAAGGTTGTTGAGAAGACCTTCATGGGTCTGACCAAGAAGCGTTTCGCCGAGCGTGTCAACCCCGGTCTCCAGGTTGCCACCCAGTGTGGTAACATGTACACTGCCACCGTTTACGGCGGTTTGGCCAGTCTGCTCAGCAACGTCGCTTTCGACCCCAAGGAGCCCAAGCGCATTGGTCTGTTCAGCTACGGTTCCGGCCTTGCCAGCTCCATGTTCAGCGCCAAGATTGTTGGTGATGTCTCCAGCATGGTTGAGAAGCTTGACCTCCAGAACCGCCTCAATGCCCGCACTATTCTTGAGCCCGCTGAGTATGATGCCATGTGCAAGCTCCGTGAGCACGCCCACCTGAAGAAGAACTTCAAGCCCGCTGGTAACACCGAGACTATTAAATCCGGTGTCTACTACTTGACTGAGGTGGATGACATGTTCCGCCGCAAGTACGAGATCAAGGCTTAAAGTTTCTTTGATGTTCTGCGATTGCCTTTGCCGTTATGTGTTGTTTAGACGGTTCAGAGAGATTCCCCCGAGCGTTTTGAATGTTTTGTCAGGGTGCATAGACCACAGGAAGGACTTTTTTCGGCCTTTCCGTTCGTTTTTCTTTTTTAACTCTTTTAGGTTGGGTGTTTTTAATCATTTCGACCCACATGCAATGAATGTCATGAAATAATTAAAAGACAATTAATGATATGAATTTCTAAATAACTCTTTTTGTATACTCCGTACCTAAATAGTCGATATTAACTACATACAAATGTAAACTTAACAACACTAACAACACTAAGAACAGTGAAACACCCCTAGGGGTCAATGCGCGGTTATGTGTTGATCCTCCCGATTTGACCTCAACCTCTTTCGAGATAACTTAGAATGTATATCTCTTGCATGAACTCCCCCATCAACTGCATTAATTGTTGCTAATTATGGGACATTTCTCAGTTTCAAGATCAGATCATCCAATCACTGCATATGACGCCAGTGCTCGGCGCGTACTTCAAACTCATCCCATACATGTAGCCGCCGACTTCGATATCACATTTGGCTGGCGCATCTAGAGCTGGTAACCCTCTTTTCAAATGGTCCTTTTTAGCCCGTTTAGATCCTGGAATCACACATTCCATGACCCCGATGGCTATTTTTATCCATCTGCTTTCTTGGAACCCTTAACCGCTGAACCCCGCGAGTCCTGAAGCAGGGAGAATCACCAACAAGTCCGCTAATTACCTAGAAATGTGACCTAATTGTTGCCGTTTTTAGAACATGTCGAGAATCTTGCAGCAGGCTAACCATTTTGGGGAATCTGAAGAATGATATTGAAGAAGATGCAAAATATAGTAACATCTTAACGCGCGACAGTCCGATGAAACCGCACTATGCCGCACTGGACCCCCTCGGAGGGGCAGTTTCAAGGGCCTTGTTGCTCAACATGCCTGTCTTCAGGCACAATGTCGGCAGTTTCGCGTTTCATCGAGTGGACGTGCCTCTGATCGGAGACTAGGATCCCAAAAAAGATTCTCAAGCTCCATAGGCGTTGCAATGGGGCTCTTCTCCATGTTTCATCTTTTTCTAGATCGGCTAGGGTTCGTCAGTCAATCTTTTTATATGCATCATGCCTGGCTGTTTGAGACTCTGTCGATGTCCATTTAATATCCAAACATTCTCCTTCTGGATCATGCCTTTGTGAACGACTTGGTCAACAAGATATTAGTTCCTTCATTCACTTGTTACTCTTCTGATAGATTGTTATTGGTGACACACCTAATCAACAACCTTGCTATCATGTCTGCTGTCGATTCTGCTCGCTTTCGGCCAACGACGCCACCGCGTCTTTCTCTTGAGGAGTACATCGGCTCTGGACATAGTCGTCATGCCTCCAATTCTTCCGTCTATTCAAGCGAGTCATCTCCCTGGTCGACAATGACTGGAAATACCAGTCCTACCACGTCACCAACCAGGCATCATCATGGCCCCAAGCTATTGCCTAAGATCCGACCCCAGGATGTCGTGATTGAGCCACTGTCTGCTGGTGGGCCTCTTCGTCACCGTCGTGTTCTGTCCAATACACGGAACCCGCCTCCTGGATTTATCCCTTACCCACCGCCGCGGTCATCAACCGGTCGTCGCACACGCGATGTCACGGACCGCTTAACATTGGCTTCTCCCATCTCGCCCGCGCCAATGACTGCACCGGGTAGCTTCCCTACCTTATCATCACCCGTAACCATCACCCCTTCGTACAAGCGCAAGGCAGGCGGGGGACACTCACGCTCCGTGTCAGCATCTGTCATCGATGCCGCCACTTTGACTCGGTTTGGGTATCCCACCTACCGGGAACTACCAAAATATATGCCTCAAATGCAGGCCCAGACGACCCCGACTACCCCAGTCACCCCAATGACTCCAAGCATCATGTCCTACCCATCATACTCTCAAAGACTAGGGGGCCAGCATGTCCCTGCAAGCACACAAACCCCATTGACAGTGCCGACACCTCAATACAACTACCGCCAGGCATCAGCTGCCCAGCATTCACCAGTGTTACTCAGTCCCCATGAAGACCTGGCCCCAAGGTCCACAACTCTACTGTCCTATCTGACACTACCAATCCAACCAATCAACCTAGTCCGCAACGTGAGCGTGATTCCAACTCGGGGCCTACACGATTACTTCTGGTGGGACATCCGCAACCTGCGGAGCTGGAGCTCCTTCTCGCTGGCAACGTTCGACTCCTTGGACAGCCGACTAATCCAGCTCCTGAAGACCGACATCCCGGCAGAGCTCACACCGCGCGTGGCCGTGCCCCCAGCAAGCCTAGCGCCAGAATCCGAGCACGACCTAGTGAGCCTAATCCGCGACCTCTACGCACCACGCATAAACGCCGCTCTGGCCGTCTCCCAAGGCAAAGACCATCTCCAACTCTATGCCGCCCCAGACGTCCGCAACACAGGCCACAAAAACCACGGCCACCCTCACTTCCTAGCAAACTACCTCTCAGACACCGAGCAAACAAGCGCTGGTCTCCCCCGCGGCCGACTAGTCGGCATCGTGAAAAGCTTCGACCGGTGGAATACCGGCATGCGCAACGAAGCCCCGCACAGACGCGTAGAGTACCTCAACGGACTCGCCCACCTCCAGCGATGCATGCGCGAGCACTCCTGCCGCTACGGCTTCATAATCACCGAGATCGAGCTAGTCTGCGTGCGAGCTGGCTGCGATGCAGGCGACGACGTCCCATACTTCGGGTACCTGGAGATCGCGGCGTCAATCCCGCTCAAGACAGCATCTGCGAGGGGCGCGCATCCACACGCGCGCGACGCACCACTTGCAACGCCAATCAGCGCGCGCTCTTTCTCGTCATCGTCAAGCTCATCATTCTCCTCGCGTCATGACTCCTCGGACCCGGAACCGACTGAGGATGCATTGCCGGCTATGACGGCGGGGCTGGGGTTGTATTTCTTGTTGATGCTTTCGAAGTCGGTGCCGCTTCCGCAACAGCCTTCTGCTCACCTCAACGTCGGCGGACCTGGTGCAATGACTCGTCAGAGGATTCTGGCGGAGGCAAAGGATAAGTGGATTCCTGAGCCGCAGATTGGGGAGAAAAGGGATGCTAAGAGGGTGAGGGGTTGGGTTTGGCCTTCGGATCCTTGGCATCGGAGGGAAGGCGGTACGTCCAGGGCAAAGCCTGGGATGAAGACGAAGAAATGGCATAAATAAGTGTTTTGTGTAGGCGCAGGTATGGAGGTCGTTTTGGTTTTACGGGGTTTGGAGTCTGGACTATATTCGTTTTGCTTCTTTTGCTGTTTCCTTTTTTTTTTTGGTGGCTTTTCGTGATTTGTTATTCCCCTTATTCCCCTTTGCAAATATTCTTTTTCATAGTAATTTAATTTCTTTTCTTCTTTTCCATAGGACAAAGAGTAGAAAGGCCCTAATACCTCAAACTAGGCTTAACCAAGTCTTTGCATTTCGGTACCCAACTAGTACATGTTTTCTGGAGACAGTCTGATTTATCTCAAGGCGGCTCTTCTATCCAAGTTTATATCAAAATGGGTTGTCATCCATAGGATCCATCATGGGTGTATCCTGGAATGTGCCCAAGCTCCCTCAAGGTCCAAGTTTAATTCAACCTCTTACTCTATCTACTCGCCTACCTTCTTTCGTCCCTTCTACTCTTAATTTACATAACATCTTAGCACATCAATCAAGAATGGAAGGGAAGTTTATAGGATGATTGATGCGAGACATAGGTGAACCCAGGGGTTCGGGGATCATGGCCATCTGCGAATATTACCTCTGGTATTTCATACTAAGCTATCTAGCCAGGCCAGCCCTCATTAGTTTTGAGCGTGTTTGCACTGATTGAGAGTGTCTGGATATTCGTGCAACCAATGTCAATACCTATGGTAGTACACGCACATCTATCGGGCGTTTGCTGGAACGAATACAGCCGGCTTGGCAGCCAAGATCAATAACATGTATGATCAACGGGACAACTCCAAAAATTGCGTCCAAGCGCATTCTTGAAGGGTGGAGATTCTCAAAGGAGGTGGATACATATGATACCCTGCGTGTGAGGCGAGGAAATGGCGGTCCCTGAAACTTGCATTACTTTCGCAACGGATATTACGAAATCTAGGAAGGATGAAGCCATTTATGGCGTGCTTTTGACTGGGAATATCCAATCCATAACCATTCACGTTGAAAGCAAGCAATTTACTTTACAAGCCGTACCTATATATATCAGGAAATTCAAGGATCGGATTGAGATTTCGTTACGCATACATTGTATATCCTAAAAACTTTACAACTTGTTTCATTCTCATGCCTAGTCCAGCATCTTAGATGAGTCTAACCCCTGCAAAGCAAGAAAGTATCAAATATATATATAATAAGTCTATGTGGCCTGTATCTATAAACCTAACACAACAGTACATTGGAAACGCTCAAATATTTAATCCAATACGACCGAAGACACCCCTAAGGTCCTCAGAGATTGACACTAATACCCCATCAAATCCGTCATGGTAATTGTGGAGCGTGAGCTGTTCTGCCAAACGTCTCTGTTACCATGCCCAAGGACCTTGGGGACGAGTACCTCGATAGTCAACGTATGAGGACATTGTAGAAATACAGTTATATTAGTAGACTACAAAAGAAAGACATTGCTCCTGTTATCCTACGTTCTTGCAAATTTGCTATTCCATCTAGCCTCGAAAGACTACTACAACCACTACATATCTACCCCCCACCGTTACTCCAACACTACCTCGCCCTTCTAAGATGTCCTCACCTCAAGAGTTACCAGAAGACTATGAAATCCGTGACGTAATAATCATCGGCGCAGGACCATGCGGCCTCGCCGTCGCCGCACGTCTAAGCGAACAAACGCCATCAGCAGTCTTCACAGACGAAGAACACCAGCGCTACCATTGGATCAAGAAGCATAGCGGACGGATGAATCTGGTACAAGGGCGACACGGCAAGATCAAAGGTGTGCGAGCCGCAAAATGGGACAGTGAACGCGGATGTCCTTGCTCAGAAGGTCGGGAACGGCGCACCTCAACTGACTCTGCATCATCTGTGCCATCGCTGTCGTCTGCATCATCGACATCGTCAACATCGCCGACATCATCTATCTCAACTCTCGTCCTCGACGGCTCTGGCGATAAATGGATGCAACGGTGGAATAATGCGTTCCGCACGCTGGAAATTAAACAGCTCCGCAGCCCGATGTTTTTCCATGTTGATCCCGGGGATCGGGATGGTATGCTGGCTTATACCCAGGAGAGCGGGCGTGATGCAGATCTCTGGGAAATCTCCGGGTGTGTTGGGAAGGAGATGAGCAAGCATAAGAAGAAGAAGAGGAGACAGGGCGGGAAAACCCAGTAAGTGATGTTCCGTGGGAATGTGGTTGAAGCAGAGCCCTAACCATTACATCCTTGTAAACAGGATAATCGGAGGCGAGATTGATGAACGAGACCGGAAGGATTACTTCTCTCCTTCCACGGACCTCTTTTCGGATTATTGTTCGTCGATTATCGAGCGGTATGGTCTGGATGAGCCCGGTCAGATCTTGCAGCGCGAGGCCACAGATATCTCATATAATTATCTGTCTGATGACTCAGACTCAAAGGTTTTTACTGTCACCACATCCACAGGAGAGAAGTTTTATAGTCGGTCTGTTGTCCTGGCTATCGGTCCTGGCGGAGCAGGTGTCTCCAAGATTTATCCGTGGAAACCCTCGACAGAACAAGAGGGTGCCGCAGCATGTTGCCACAGTACGGAAATCAAATCATTTCCCAGTCCGAATGTACAGAATAAGATCCAGCGACGGCAAGAGACCAATGTTGTCGTTGTTGGAGGTGGTCTATCGTCAGCGCAGATTGTCGATATGGCGGTTCGCAAGGGTGTGACGAAAGTATGGTTCTTGTTGCGGTCCGGCATGAAGGGTATGTATAATGTCCCTAGAAAGCACAGCGTTATGGACAATGTCTCATTTTTAAACCAGTCAAACACTTCGACATCAGTCTGCCTTGGATGGGCAAGTACAAGAACTGGGAGAAAGCTGCCTTCTGGTCCGCCGACACCGACGAAGGTATGTATAAAAAAAAGCCCCAAGTCCCATTCAAGACCGACACTAATGTATGTCCTAGAGCGCCTTGAGATGCTCCAAACCGCTCGCAATGGCGGCAGCATTACACCACGCTATACGAAGATCGTAAAGCAGCACGCAGCTAAAAACCGCGCTTCCATCCACCCTTGCACAGAAATAAAAACCCACGAGTACAATCCAGTCACCCAGACCTGGACCCTAACAACCGACCCACCGATCCCCGAGCTCCCCGAAATAGACTATATCTATTTCGCAACTGGAGTAAGGGCGGACGTGCGCGAGATGCCGCTACTCCGCGAAATGAACGACCAATACCCAATCGAGGTCAAGTCGGGTCTCCCATGTCTAACGAACGATCTGTCATGGCGGGATGACGTACCATTATTCATGACGGGTCGGATGGCGGCTCTCCGGCTTGGACCCGGGGCGCCAAATCTCGAGGGCGCAAGGGTGGGCGCGGAACGGGTTGCGTGGGGCATGGAGGAGGTGCTGCATAAGGGGAGGGAGGTTGGTGGGCAGTGTGAAGGGTTCTGTGGGCTTGGGAATCGGTATGCCTCGCTGCTTGGGGAGTGTGATGAATGAAATTCTGCCTCACATCACTGTGGTGGTGGGTGGTATCATAGAGTCCAATGTCCTTCTTCCCTTTGGACTGCAGATCATGGGGTTTGGGTGCTGTGACGAGTTGATCGGAGATAGTGGGACGTTTGTGCTGGTTAAATTGCCTGTTTGGGTAGTTGGATCTGGCATTCCTCCCTTCATTCCGAGCATTCAAGTTATAGCCACCGGTTATCCTCGAACTATCTGAAGATCATCCGGGGAGGGCTGGAGGTTTGTTGGGTCGGAAGAATGTAGATGATCCCTTGTTCTGTATAATTTTAGGGTATAAGCTAGCCAGTATAGTACGATGAAGTTCCGAGTTGATACAATTCGACCTTAGCTTGTCCAGAAAGCCCGATCCCCGAGAGAACACATGATATGGCGACAAAGGCAGATACAATGGAGAAGGAGCCCCCGATGGAGGCCTTCAGGTTACTACCGAACAACACAAATCCGAATTGGATTAAAGATAGGGGGCTCCGTAAACTAAACATGGGTATTGTGTTCATGTTCTCCACTGCTTCTTCGGCTGGGTATATTGGGAATCTCGTGAATAGCTTACTTGTGCTGCCTCAGTGTAATGTCTCCATCCTGATACTGTGAGGTTTATGCTAACTATGGAATAGTTGGTACTATCATTGGTGGACTGGATCCCAATATAGTTGGTCTGATAATTGCTGCCACTTCTCTGGGGGCGTTGATTTCCTTCGCACCAGCCTCTTATATTGCCGATACATTTGGACGCAAGATATGTGTTTTGGTTGGATCCAGCATTGCGATCGTGGGGGCTATCATTCAGACCGCAGTGAAAAACCACTGGGCCTTTTTTGGCACGAGAGTTTTGTCGGGTATTGGGATGGGTATTGCCCAGACTGCAGCTCCTCTCCTGGCAACCGAGATCGCACACCCTCGCCAGAGACAGACGGCCACGGCACTCTATAATGCATCCTGGAGTTTGGGTGCCATTAGTTCGGCAGCTGTCACGTATGCAACCATCGGCATAGCAAACAGTTGGTCGTGGAGAGTTCCTTGTCTGCTACAGATGTATTATCCGTTGTTTCAGATCCTAGGGTTGCTCATGTTTGTGCCCGAAAGCCCGAGGTGGCTCATATCTAAGGGCCGGAAAGACGAAGCCCTGGCTGTCCTGGGGAAGTACCACGCGAATGGAGACACAGAGGACGAGCTGGTCCAGTATGAGTATCGTTTGATATGCAACACGATCACAGCCGAGATCACTAATACCAGAAATTGGAGCTCCTTCTTCTCTTCCAGAGGTAATATGCATAGATTGGCCATCTGTGTGTTAGTTGGGCTTATGCAAGAATGGGCTGGAAATGGTATGTTCCTCAATATCTTGAAGAAACTCCCGTCGCTAACAGTATCGCAGGTCTCTTGTCATACTATCTCGCGCCGATTCTCGGATCAGTGGGAATTACCAAGGCATCGGACCAAGCAGCCGTGAACGTCAGTCTTAATGCCTGGAACTTCCTCCTTGCGGCAGCCGGTGCACTTGCATCGGAGCGGTACGGCCGCCGCATTCTATGGCTTATTTCCACAGGGGCCATGATCGTCTTCCTGTCAATGTCTACACTAGCCGCTGGTTTATTTGCCGAAAGAAATCTCCACGCTGCAGGAATAGCTGTAGTTCCACTCCTATTTCTCTTTTTTGGCGCATACGATATCGCCTATGCGCCTTTGTTCATCTCGTATCCAGCTGAGATCCTACCCTTCCAACTGCGAGCTAAGGGTATTGCTGTCACCCTGTCGGTAGATGCTGTGGCATGTTTCTTCAACCAGTATGTCAACCCAGTGGCGTTCACGGCGATTGCATGGAAGTATTACTGTGTCTTTCTCGGTTGCCTGGTAGTGTTTTTGGTTCATATATACTTCCTCTTCCCCGAGACAAAAGGGCGGTCTTTGGAAGAGGTTGCTATGATTTTCGACAAGGAAAAGGAATGGGAGGGTGACAGTAAAAAGACAGAGACAAGATAGACTGAAGACAAATCCATGTCCATAATATAGTGATCGGAGTGGCCAATCAGAACCCGGTTGATGTTGCTGATGTTGCTGATGTTACGTTCCCCCGCAGTTACAACGCGGTGTCCATTGCAACTTCTCATATCTCGCACTTTTTGTTGTATATATATTTCTACTCTTTGCTTGTTTTTCAAAGAATAACAGGAAATATCAGAGCCAAAAAAAAGCACATCAATTACTCGTCATAGTGCTAGACCCAAATCTTGGAATCTCCAAAGCTCCAATTTATCCCCCGCATCCCAATACTTTAACCCAAGCCAACATGAAAGAACCAATTCCACCTCCTCGGGATACAATTCCCAGCCCCTCCTTCTCGCCATTGAAGCAGTTACGCTTTCTTATCATCGGCGCCGGCTCTCGAGGAAACGCCTACGCTCGCGCTGTCACAACCGTCACACCGGGTGTAATCCACGCAATTGCCGAGCCCCACGCATTCAAACGGCGGGATTTCGGGCAAAAATATATATGGGGTGCACAGGGATCCTCAAAAGAGGGCCAGGAATTCACAGATTGGCGCGAATGGGTGCAGTGGGAACTCGAGCGACGGAAGCGGGCGATTCCAAACGACGAGAACACAGCAGACACAACCCCTGTGGGTGTAGACGGAGTTTTCATATGTACACTAGACGAAACACACGTCGAGATCCTACAAGCTCTCGCCCCACTCCAACTACACATCCTCTGCGAGAAGCCACTAGCTCTCTCGCTGGACGACTGTCTGACAGTATACCGAACCCTCCAGCCACCCGAAGGCCCAAACAACACCCCACAAGCCCCAAAGAAGATCTTCTCAATCGGTCACGTCCTCCGCTATAGCCCGCACAACATCCTCCTCCGCAAACTCCTCCTTACAGACCGTGTAATCGGTGATATAGTCTCCCTAGAACACTGCGAGCCAGTCGGCTGGTGGCACTTCTCGCACAGCTACGTCCGGGGCAACTGGAGGCGCGCAACATCAGCAGGCGATGGCTCCCTCCTGACAAAATCCTGCCACGACATCGACTTCATTCTTTGGCTCCTCTGCTCCCCGCCTTCCCCCGAAAAAGCATCCAAACAAGACCAGCAGCCGCACTTCCCGCGCTCGATCTCCTCCGCCGGCACGATGACACAGTTCCGTCAAAAGCGCAAGCCTGTGTCCGCAGGCAACGCTACAAACTGTCTCTCCTGCCCCGCTGAACGTGACTGTAACTACAGCGCGGTTAAAATATATAACGACCGCCACCTTGCTGCAGGTCACACGGCTTGGCCGGTTGATATCGTCTGTCCGGATATCGAAGATGTGTTCCGCGCGCAAGGCGGCAAGGCTGCCGAGTCGCTCCTCCTCTCTCGTCTTGCCGAGGACTATGACCGGGATACGGTGTTGGACTCGGATATCGCTGCACGACCTTGGTACGGGCGGTGCGTCTACGAAGCTGATAATAACGTCTGCGATGACCAGGTTGTGACCTTTGTTTGGGATGATGAGGAGGCGGCGCCGCATCGACTTGCTAAAACGGCGAGTTTCCATATGATTGCACCTACAGAGAAACAGTGCGAGCGTCGGGGGCGGGTATATGGTACCACTGGTGAGATTTCATATGATAGTACAACGATTTCTGTTTATGATTTTGCTACGGCGAAGACTGCTGTTTTTGATGTACCGAAGCCGCCGCCAGGACAGAACGAGTCGCATGGTGGTGGGGACTTTGGGCTTGCGAGGCAGTTTGTCAGTGCCGTTGAGGCTGTTGAGGGGGGATTAGATGTTGAGACCGCGCAAGCGAGGTTTGTTGGTTGTTCGCTTGAGGAGGCTGTGCGAAGTCATGCTGTTGTTTTTGCGGCCGAGGAGGCGAGGAGGGAGGAGAGGGTTGTTAAATGGGAGAGCTGGTGGGGGGAGAAGTTGAGTGTGTCTGCTGCTGCGTGGAACGCATAATGATATGGAATTGGTTGATGATTTACGATGATACGATAATATGAGAATACGATACTATAATAATTTGTGTTCAGTTCCCCTTGTTTGAGATATGGTATAGAGGCCAATAATGCATATACTTCATTAGCTTCACAGATCTGGAGGTTTGAATCCAAAGACAAGACAGGCTCGGATTATGATAAAGATGCAGTTTCTACTTCATGCTAAAGTATAATCTTTTAATCTTGATCCTGCTTTTCGATCATCATTCTTCTCGCGTTCAGATAGAACTGCAAAACAATTAAAAGGTGATCCCCATCCAGCAGGTTCCACATTAACCCTAACAACCTAAGCAAACTTAAGTCTTAACATCAGGCTCCTCGCGGCCAACATACTCCTTGAACTTGAGCAAAGAGAGGGCCAGCGAGATGTTATCGGCCAGGTACTCCTGAGCAGTGAGACCGAACTTGGACTTGTCGGCCTCGTAGCGCTCAACGTACAGACGGATAGTGGCACCACTGCTGCCAGTGCCGGAAAGACGAACAACAATGCGGCTGCCATCATCGAACTTGGTGTACAGACCCTGGTTCTTGGAGACGCTACCGTCGAGGTCGGTGTAGGAGAAGTTGCCAGCGTCGACGACCTTGCGGCCGGCAATTTCCGAACCAATGAAGGTGTCGCGGTTGGCGACCAAGTCGGACAGAGTACCGACGACCTTGTTGGCGCCCTCGCTGTCGACGTTCTCGTAGTCGTAGCGGGTGAAGAAGGTGCGGCCGTAAGTCTGCCAGAACTCGTTCTGGATGGAGCCAATGCTGGGGGTCTCGTTGGGCTTCTGCTTGGCAACACCGGCAATGATGTTCAACCAGGCCACGACGGCCCACAAGCCGTCCTTCTCACGGATGTGGTTGCTGCCAGTGCCGAAGCTCTCTTCACCACAGATCGACATCTTCTTCTCGTCGAACAGGTTGCAGAAGAACTTCCAGCCGGTGGGCACCTCGTAGCTCTGCAGACCCTGGGCCTTGGCCACGCGGTCTACGGCTCCGGAGGTAGGCATTGAGCGGGCCAAGCCGTATACACCCTGCTTCTGGAAGTAGGGGATGAGCTTGGCGTGGTGGGCGATGATGGCCAAGCTGTCGCCGGGGGAGACGAAGCTGTTGGCACCGTAGATCATGTTACGGTCACCGTCACCATCACTGGCGGCACCGAAGTGCACGCCGTTGGCGTCGACGGCCTCGACGAGCTCGTGGGCGTACACGAGGTTGGGGTCGGGGTGACCGCCGCCAAAGTCCGGCTTGGGCTGGCAGTTCATTGTGCTGCTGGTGGGCAGACCGAGCTCCTTGACGAAGATATCCACGCCGTAGGGTCCGGTCACACCGTGCATGCCGTCGAACAGGACCTTGAAGTCCTTGTGGGAGCTGAGGAACTCCTTGATCAAATCGAAATCAAAGATCTCCTTCATCATGGTCACGTAGTCGGCGGTAGAGTGAACGATCTCAACCTCGAGGGGGCCGTAGTTCTTGATGCCAATGGTGGAGGTATCGACATCGGGAACATCGAGGTATTTGTAGGAAGTGAGGGTCTTCGCGGTCTCGAAGATCTTGTTGGTAACACCCTCGGGGGCGGGAGCACCGTTGGCCAAGTTGTACTTGATACCAAAGTCATTCTCGGGACCTGTGAGTGTTCGGTCAGTATCCAACAGATCATATTATAGTCCTGACCATCACTTACCACCGGGGTTGTGACTGGCAGTCAAGAGGATACCACCAGTTGCCTTCCTCACACGAATGAGGTTGCTAGCAGCCGGGGTGCTCATAATACCATGCTGTCCAACCAAGAGCTTCTTCACGCCATAGGCGGCACTGATCTTTGCGATCTTGGAGATGACCTCGGGGTTGTAGTAACGGCCATCGCCACCAATGACGAGGAAGGAACCTTCAACACCCTCGGGGATTGATAGAAGAATGCTAGTAATGAAGGATTCGGAGTAGTTGTCCTGTTGGAAGACCTTGACCTTCTTGCGAAGACCGGAGCTGGGAGCAAGTTAGCTGGGAGTTCAATTGCGGGGCAATGAGCAACATACGTTCCAGGCTTCTGGTCGGTGAAGGGCTGGATGGAGACTGTCTGGACAGACATGATGGAATAAGATTGGAGGGGATAAGGTAGTAAGGAGAAAAGAAGAAGAAGGGGGAAGAAGTTCGAGAGAGAAGTTCACCGACTTGTTGAGCTCCACGGGGAGGGGCCAATGTTTGGCGTCATGTGTTTATCATTCCACTAGTGCTCTTGTGTCTGTTGTACTTTGCCACATTCGAATATTTAATTTAAATATCAGTCTGGACTCCCTACACTTCGTGCAGCTTAAAGGCTCTCTGATTTGTTCTATTCAGTCCAATCTACAAGTTATCTGTCAAGGTACTTCTTCCAAAATGACCCCCGCCGCAGATCATTCCCGCGGGGGAATCAAAATAATGCCTTTCGTACAACATTCTTCCGAAGTATATTGTACATGGAGTGTACATTGACGATCTCTTTTCACCTTACGAAAAGGTACTCCGTAGTCAAGGTCAATTTCAACAAGCAGAGTTTTAAAAATAGCCCCCCTAGACCCATGTCTCAGAGTAACAGAGACAAGCAAGCCACAATATCAGCCACATTCACCCAAACAGCTTCTCCTTGTAAAATCGCATCTCCTCAATACTTTCAAGAATATCATCCCTGGCAAGATGAACCTCCCGCTTAGGGGGGACCTGCTCAAGCATCTGATCACTTCCCCACCTCCGCGCCGCCTCCTTCAACGAGCTAACATCCAGAATGCGATAATGCAGATGATCTAGAACCTGTGAGTACGGCGCACAAGCAAGGAAAGCCTTATCCGCGTGAACACTATTTCCCGCGAGGAGGGCAGTGCGCGGGACCGGGACGTGCTGGCGGATGTATGCGAGGAGAGAGTCGGCGGCGGTGGAGGGGGAGGTGGTCGAGGCGCGCACGGCGGCGGTGAGGCCCGTGCGGCCGTGTGTGTCGATGCACCACTGCGACATCGCGTCGAGGGTGGAGTCTGGGACATGGATGACGGTTTCAAAGCCAGTCGGTTCGAGGAGGTTTAATTGGGCATCTGTAATGAAACAGCAGATCTGGAGGATCTTGTCGGTTTCCGGGTTCAGGCCTGTCATCTGGTGGGGAGTTAGTGGTGCGAAACACCTTGGGGGAGGGTTTTGGATCGGAGATGGGGTGTCTGGACGTACCTCACAGTCGATCCAGACCAAAGGGTCTGTTGAGCGTTCGAGTGGCATGGTGGATTTATGGCGGATGGGGACGATTCTGGGCTGTTGAAGCTGTTAATGATTTGAGGTGCAATTGGGTGCTCGGCAGAATCTCTCACTTGGTGGAGAAAGCCGGGCTGGGCCAGAACACTGCGTAATGCAGATGCAGGTAGAAAAATACTTCTGAGCATGGATGTGTAGTTGAGGAGTTTGAAATAGGGTACATTTGTTTCAGCTATAGCTTTCAGGGTTCAGAAGCTTATCGGGTTTTAAGCCGTTTCAGCCAATGCTTGACCAACGCAGCATAGACCCCCGGGATCCTTTGGAATATCTAGTCTACAATGTATATAATTACGTCTCTCCTCCTACGCTTATTTCTGGATTTAAAATTATGATCAAGCTGCCCTGATCGGTGCAGCAAATGTATTTCTCCTTCAACATGTTCCCTGTATTGTAGGTAGTGGGCATAACGGCGTAATTGTAGAAAAGCAATACATATGACCGTCCAGAGGACCCAATAAATGGCAATGAGGATTCCGCCAACTCGCAAAATCCTAATCGATCCATAGGATCACACCGAAAACGACCAGTGCTTTCCAAAGCGAAGAGTAGTAGCCCGTCAGGCCCGATGGCTCAAACGGGATCTCGAGATCCGACCACCCAGAAGTAAGCGATTTTCGATAATTGCGGGCTTACAACTCCTCTTCGGTTTCTGGCGGTCCAGCGGAAAGATCAGGTGTAAGACTGAACCCATCTGCGAATATCTTCGGGCTGGTTAAAGTTGATTCCGCTGGAGCGGAGGAGCCCAGAACTTCATTGATTCTACCGGACGACTCTGCGATCCGGCGTCTGAGGGCATTCTCATCTGCTGTAGAAACACTCGCGCGCTGTTTCTTCAGCGGACTACCGAAAAGGCCATCTTCTGGTTCAGCAGCTGGCTGAGAGGGCTCGGAGGGCACACCTGCAGATCCAGTTGCGGCAGCCTTTGGTGGTGTTGCTGAGCGCTCGTTTGCGGGGGCGTGGATCCGGAACCGGAAGCCGGCGTATCGGCAGAGTCACCGACACTGGCCCCAGGTGGCTCGGCGGAGTGCTGACGCTTGAGCTATGGGATTGTTAATAAAGCGCCAATGGAATGTGAAGATTGTACCTACTCGAATCTTCCGCAGGCTTTCCGCCAGCTCTCCCTGGCGTTGAATGTCATCTGGAGACAAGAACCGATCGTCATCCTTGGCTTCTTCATCGTCTGCCTTGCCAAGTATGGGATTGTCGGTGTCGTCGTCATCACTGTCCATTTCATCGACGCTCTTCTTGCCCTTCCGCGGCTTGGGTTCGTTGTCCCGGAAATTAAGGAATCCAACAGAGCCCCCAGGCTTGATAGGGCCGAGGTTTGCGAAATCAGCTTGTATGGACTTGCGCTTCGTGGCAGCAGGCGTCTCTTGCACCTTGGGATCTTTCAAGATACCCATCTTCTGCAACTGGCCTATGTTCATGTAAAATTAGAAACAATTCCCATCAAGAGTGATATAGAGAATACTCACGTTCACCACGGTACATAAAAGTGAATACAGCATATGGTTTGTCACTCGGGTCAATACCAGTAACAGTTTGCGTACTAATGGTCTTCGGGTCGAGTGACTTGGGCTTCGCAAAACTTGTGGTGTGGTCAACATCGGCATCTCCTCCGCCGCTGTTATCTTGACCACCCTCCTCATCGTCGTGTGCATCAAACTGCGGGGAGTACTCGCCCCGCTTGATTTCTCCCGACGCCAGAACTCGGAACAAAGCAACCTTAATCTGGCCCGCTGTCTCGGGAATTGGATCATCGTCGTCAGAGTCGGAGGAGAGGTCGTCGTCTGAAACATCCTCGAGGGGCGACTTCTCATCATTTCCGTATCGCATAATGGTCTTGGACTTGGTAGGATGATTGTCCTCCATTTCCATGGCAGTCGGATCTTCCTCAGCGGCGCGCTTCGCACGTCGTTTCTCCATCTTTTGTCGCCTGCGTTCAATCTTGGCTGCGGCATCCTTGCCTTCCAGGTCCAATCCGTTGAGCCAGCGCTCCAGACCGACCTCGCGGAACAAGAACTCGCGCTCGGCAATTCCCCCGCCTTCGCTCTCCGGGACGCTGACCCAGCGTGAATTCACCCATGTCTCTTCTCCTCGCCGCAGTAGTGTAGCCACCTCCTCCTTCTGTCTTCCGTCAAAGTAGATGTATGCAGCTACGGTCTCGTTCGGTGAGTTTGTCAAGCCTTGGTATGGTGCGACCGTCCCGGCGATTTGACCTGGTTCACCGGGCAATTTGCCCACAACTTTTGGTTTCGGCGAGGGGCAGTCTGCTGTCGGCTTTGGGGTCGAGTAAGGAACATCTTGCTCGGGATTCAGGAGGGTGACGGAAATGGCGAAGGTTGATTGTTCCGCTTTGCCGGTCCCAGATTCGGGAATTTTGGGTGGAGGAACAGGAATGAAACAACCTATGCGCGAAGCTCGAGAATGGCGTTGAATGGAGTATTCGGAGATCGGGCCATCGGGCGTGTGGATGCTCACGGCAAGCCCTTTAAAGCAGGGCATGGTGGGAAAGGGTTAAGTGGGATATGGATGTTGCACTGTGGGGAGAAGAGTCCAACGAGGGCGCAGGGCCAGATCTGCCCCGCAACTAAGACAAGAAATACTTCGGGCAAAAACACGAGAAAAGTGACACCAAATTGAGGATAGGTGAACTTCTTTCTTAGTTTGTTTTTTTTTTGCTCCCTCGTGGGTGTTGAGAGAATAAGCTATAGGCGGGAGGCGGTCAAGGTAGTGGGTTTCGACTCACCCAGCAGCCCACAGCAGTTCCTTGAGCTCCACTGCAGCTGCTGGTGTGTTTGTTTCTGGGGTTCAAAAATGAGGGTCACGATGACGGGGGATTCTAGATTTCCTGAGGACCAGGCCCAAAGATACGTCACTGAGGTTCCTGAGCTCAAGTGGGCACACACAACCTCAAAATGCGAACAGAAGGAATGAAAGTAAAAGAAGTAGACCTGAGCTCTCTTTCAAGGGAAGGGTGAGGGGCGGGAGTGGACCAAAACATGAGGGTTGCCATCCCCCCGAACTCCCACGTGATACACCTATCAAGCCTATAGTAGGCTACAGCCTACATTGTATGTATATACACGGCCATTGAGATTCTTTTATAGTCATTTATACTTTATCCCATAACTCTGGGAAAATCCTGTTATCTACCTCTATTTATCCCCCATAAAACAATATTCATCATACCAATCATGCCAATATTGAACTTGTCCTGATCATATCTCCACATCAGCTGATCCCCCAGCAACCATGGATTCTGCGAAGCCTGGTGGAGCACACTTTCCCTACTATAACCATGATAGGGTATTATACCCTCTTCTGATATCTAAAGGTGGTTTTTGAGATAAATTTCATTTCCAAAATCAATAGTGCATTATTCATTATCTCAATTTCCAAATATCAAAGAAATGAAGGAAAAACAGAAAAAAAACAGAGGCAAGTGTCAGCCCGCTGCTTCTAACACCCGTGGGAACAAAACCCGCAACTCGAATCCGAAAAGATCAGACGTTGACTAGACTAACCTATGACTTAACATGGTCAGAAACAACACTCTGTCTCCGCGACCCGGCAACATCTCCATTACTACCCGCAAGATGGTCAAAGTGGTAAAGAGGCTCCAGCTCAACATTCTGGCGGAAAATGTAACGCCTGAACCAGTACGGCAGCGCCTTGGTGACTTGATACTTCATGTGCACCCGAGTAGGAACTGCGAAGATATAATCCAGCTCTTCGAGAGTGCGCTGCTTGGTTTCGGGAACCCAGAGGAAAATCATGACCATTGCAGTGACGTTCAGACCACTAAATACAATCGTTAGAGAACTTGATAAGAAAACTGTAATGTCGGTAGAAAGACTTACGCATAAAATCCGAATGCTCCAGTGGCAGTCATTGCACTCAACATTTTGGGGAACGTGATTCCAAGCACGGCAGCCCAACCTAGACAGGTTGCCACAGCCCAGGACATGCCAACCTCTGATGTCAATGTTAGTTCGGGAAACTATACCAAGAGGAAAGGAGAAGCTGAAAGTGAAATACATACCGCGATGGGAAAGAGGGAATACCTCTGCCGAATAAGTGAACGGCACGGGCCCTTCACCGGGCGAATAGAATGCAGCGAACAGGAACACGAAGAACGCGATTGAAGCCAGGTGACCCGTACCCTCGGGAGTCCAGAAGCAGAAAGCAGCGCCAAGCAAAGTCCATGCCATCTGTGGGAAAGTGAACAAAAGCAGAGTCCGGCGGCCATATGTATCGATGGTCCAGATGGCAGGGAAAGCGAACACAAAGTTAACCAACCCGAATCCCCAGGAAGCAAACAAAGCCTGTGTGTCATTTGCACCCGCGTTCTTGAAGACAGTTGAGGAGTAAAAGGCAACGATGTTGATACCGCACATCTGCTGGGCGATCATGACAACGAACGAAGCAAGAGTGGCACGGCGGACACGAGGAATAGTGAACAGCTCAATGAAACGGGTGACATAGTTGCTATTGCCAATTAGATCCATTTCAATCTTGATCTGGGCATGAATGTAGTAAAGGTCACGAGCAGCCTGCAAAGGCGTGTTACGGAGACGGCATAAAGACCGGTACGCCTTGGCCATCTCGCCACGTCGAATGTACCAGCGAGGTGACTCTGGACAGAAGTAAACCCCAAATAGGAGAGGGATAGCCGGGATAAAGGCCGATCCGAGCTGTAGACGCCAGGATATTTTACCAGTATCCTTGACGGCAAGATTGGCACTGAATCCGAGGAAAATGCCAAAAGCGGTCCAAAGCTGCCAGGACATGACCAGACCACCGCGGATAACAGCAGGAGTATTCTCAGCGCAAAAGATTGGAATTGTCGAGGCTTTCAATCCCATTCCAATACCCAAGAGAAGACGGACCACAAACAACTGTACCCAGCTCTGGGCCACTGCAGAGCCAATGGGGGTAAGGACGCAAAAGATAGACGAGGCGAAGATTGTACCGCGACGGCCCAGGATCCGATTAAATGGATCCGAGAGCCAGCATCCAAGACAAGCACTGGCGATATAGGGAGCAGCATTGACGATGCCGATGAGCCATAGGTTCCGCTCGGCCTGCGGGCTCTTTTTGGGATCGTCCGATATACCAAAAGCATCGGGGAATGACAGGTTAGCACCATTGGAGCCAGTCTGATCCCATCCTCTGTATTGATGTTAGGGGTGTATCTAAGGTGTACTGGGGAAATAACGTACTGCACGGCTGCACCAATAGAGCACAGGATAATGGTGAAGTAGAGTGATCTCGGCTGGCGCCATTTGTGAAGCACTTCGTCACGCAGGGCAGTGAGCTCCGGCTCAGTCAAGTCTGCCACTGTCTCGAACTCAGTAGGATCACGCGCAACTAGCGCTCCTTTTTTCAGCTCGGGTAGGATGTCTGTGACGTTGTATTCCTCGGCAAAGTCTTCCACGTCGCGCAGCACCTGATTCTTGGTCAAGTTGGCCAAAGGGTTCTTGATCCTGTTTGATGTTAGTGAACTGAGAGGAAAAGCCAATTTATGACCGGGAAATCAAACTAGTGGAGCTTACCTGGCTGAAACATTGTTTTGAAGGTCAACTTGCTCAACGTATCCCTTCTCAACACTGTTTTGATCGTTGCTGGAACTATATGAAATCGACATGAGCACTGCGAAGCGCACGAGGAAAATGCAAATCTTACCGCTGGCTAGAGCTAACCTGCGTGATGGCCTCCTGAACCATTTTGAGGGCCCAGTGCCTGGTCAAGCCGTTAATAGCAACTAAGAAAGAAACTAGAGGCCGTGGGCTGAGTTGACTGTTCTGATGGGGAAGAAAAAAAAAAGAGAAAGATGGATGGAGAGGAAGAGTTGGAAAACCAACTAACAACTTTAGTCACCGCAGTAGCTCGTTTGATGGGTCTCAGAGACAAACGAAGTTGTGAATGGTAGCTATTGACCTTGGGGGAGGGGCACCCTTTTATATTCTGTATTTCATCTTTTCTTAGACCAGCCCGTTTGACAAGAGATACACAACCCCATTGGCTAGAGTAAAATATGCCCAAGGCTCACGGGTAAATCCAAAAAAGGGCAACCTTTTGTCATGACTTCCTTCTGATCTACTTCCCGAAACGGATTTAATCTGGGGGCCCGCGTTGAATTGCCCATGGGGAAACTTCAAACCCTAAAAAAATGGAGATACAAGAAATACATACTCCACTCTTACACTAAGCCTTCGGCCTTAAGTGGAAGGACTTGGTCTCGGCAAAATACTACATTAAGACTGCTCTGCTACCTTCCCTAATGCCAAGTACTAGAAACAAGTATGAACAAGTCTCGCGGCCCAAGTATAGCTACATGCATCTGGAAAAGAACCCTTCTAGGATCTTTCTCCCTGTACTAGGATCCCTGTCTAGACCGGTTCAAGTCCTAGGTGAAAGCAAGCCTTCCACTGTTAAGCCCCAGGTTTACTTCCTATTGATGACGGGGCCGTTGTCTCCATGTTATGCAATCAAGTCCTATAACCCTACCTATAACTACGGTCAGATTCAGATATGAAAAGCAATTGTCGAGAGGTATCAGACCGCCGCTCTCGATACCAGCATCTCCAGGCGAGCGCCACATTCGTCGACCAAAGGCACCGGGTTATGGTAGTCGCCTCTAGGCAGGGGCCAGGATTGTGATTGGCGAAAATAATTTAGGCATATGGCTAAGGACTAGCCAATTTTTTGGCGCTAAATTAGCCTCAAATCATGGTAATCCCTGCCTCCCAGGTTTGTTTCCGGTAACTTCACGAAGCTTAGAGTTTCACGTGGACAATATATTTTACCTTTTTGACTCGCATTGAGCGAGACCTAAATGATCTAAATACTCTTTATTATCTAGCGAACATCTAAACTTGAACTTATGTCCGAATTCGGTAAAAAGGTAGAAGGAAAAAAAGTGGAAATCCGGGGCAAATTACGGGGGAATCGACATCGAGGTATTTGCTTCCAAAGTTGGGGTCGAAGTCTCACGCTAGTACAATCCCGTGTACAAAAGGACTTTGGACGGAATAGGAAAAAAGTCAAATCCTCGGGGATGAATTACTCTCGGAGCCCAACCATCCGGCATTAAAAGCCGTGGCACAATATCGGGCGAAATGAAGGCTTTCCTTTGATCCAAGGATACTCGATCCCGATCTTTGCGGGTAAAATTATGTCCTACAAGCCGTGTGCCCCGTAAGAGTTACCGTGCGTTTTCCCCCTCCAGTCGAGAGCGCAATAGGCGTTAGTGGCGTTAGACAAAGTAACCCTAGACCCCGTAATTATTCCAACTCGATGATTATCTTGCCAAGTCAAACCAAGCCCAATGCCTGTTTCTTGGAATGTGGCGTAAGTGCTGATCCGATTCAAGCACATTAAAAGATGATCGCATCATCACTTATCAACCTCAGAAAGCGGACGGTGACCGTCTCCGGCGACATGGTTCTCGAGGCTCGAGCGGGCCGTGTCTGGGGGTTGCAACGCTAAAGCGCTCGTGG